TGGGCAATAAACCGGCGCCCTTGGCCTGTGGCCGGCTGCGGAGTCCATTCCTTGTCGGGTGCGATGGACATGGGGGGCGGACGGGGTGGGGGTCTTCTCCCGGGCAGCTCGGGGGAGGCACTGCCCGTCGCCGGCCGTTCCCAGGGAGTCGCGGCCAGTGGAGGATCAGGTCTGTGCGGTCCCTGCGCGGGCCGGTGACTGCGCAGACGCGCCCGTGGGGAGCTGCGTCCTGGTGGCCAGAAGCGCCGGCTGGCACCGCCCTGGCCCGCAGCCAGCCCACCCGTGTCCTGCCGCAAAGGCCGCCGTCCTGGCCTCGCTTGCCCTTGGCGGGGCGTGGCCTCCGGGCCATCTGGGAGGAGCCTGGCTGGGCACTGGCCACTTTTCCTGGACATGCTGCGGCTGCTCCCGCGTGGCCGGTCCCGAGCGTGTCGCCGACCTGGACTCGCTGTTGCTTAGACTCTGACTTCATTTTAGTGGCAGAGGGCTGTGTCCTCCGGTGCCCCTGCTGGCCGGCGGGCGTTCTCGGCCGTTCCAGGGGACAGAGGAGCCCTGGTGGCGAGGCAGCCAGCAGGCTCCGTTCCAGCCCTGCCCCTGTACAGCCCGGGTCCCCCAAGGATCCCGGTTCTCAAGGGGGTGAGGACCCAGCTTACTCCCCCCGGCAGCCCGCACCCTGCGGCCCTCCGGAAGCCGCCTGCCTGCCCGCCGTGGTTGCGCCCCGGCGATGCGCGTGCCCGTGTGACCCTGTGCGGGTCCAGCCCGGCCGCCTGGCGGGTCTGCGCGGCGGGAGTCGGGCAGCCGCGTCACGGCCTCGGGCGCGCGGCTTTCGGCCACCTTGACTGGCCCTGGCAGCCGTGGGAAAGACGGGCCGCAGTGCACGCAGGGGAGGGTGGGCGCGTGCGGCGCCGCCGTGACCGCTGGCCATGAGTGTCGCGGCCAGCTGGGCAGTGGAAGCTCACCCTGGACACTGGAAGGCTGCAAAGAAGCGCCTGCTCCCTTGGATTCGGAGGGGCGGCGCCGGGCGGCTGGCGGCCGGGTGCGCGCCGGCGCGG